ACCATTTAGCTTTTGCAAATGATTAAATCCACATTCCTAATTTCTGCATAAATTATGGTAGTGGCTTACCTTAAGCTCTAAAATGGCAAGTACCTTACTCTTCTCCTAAAAGGAGGACCTAAGGAAAATGCATCCCAATACTGCATATTAGAGGTCTATGCAATAACCACTTATTAAAATAATAAAGTTGAAATTAAAAAACAAAACAAAACACCCATCGTGACAAATGAAACATTGGAAACACTGATTTTACAACAAAACTTTATCATTTACCTGAAGCAATCACAAGACATTTGAAAGGTTCACAGAGGAATGCAATACACAAAGTATTCATGAAGCAGTGTGAACTGCCTTTTAACCCCTTAACTGCAGGTCACACTGGACCTGAACTTAAAATGCAAGCAAGACCAGATTAACAATGCATTAACCAAAGGTGGGAAGAACAGAAGGGAAAGTGAACAGGAGAGAAGGGAGGTATATAAGACAGGAGGGAGAGGTCACAAGACAGGAGGGGTAGATGATCTGCCACACCTGTGAGCTTACAAACCGGAAAACAGCAGCGGAGGGTCGAGCCCCGGAACAGCGCCGGGCGCTCAGCACCGCAACACGCCACACCATGTCACCACCGCACTGCACCGCATCTTAACAGCTAACCAGCATTATTCAACTGCTACACAACTGCGCCTAGTGCACAAAAGATACACAAGAAAGAGGGTTAGAGACACAAGAATTGTGACCAGACAGAAACAAGAGTTTGACAGAACAGAAAACATTTTCTTTTATCAGATTAGCAGATCAAAATTAAAAATATGCAATGCAAAATTTGGTTTGGCCTTCGTCTTCAACATTTTTTCTATGTTGACTGATGTGAAGTGGTGGTTTCATCCAAAAACAATCATTTTTACAGCACCAAAGCCAATATGGTCATTAAACAATGGCTTCAATGAAAGAAATGTTTCAAAAATCTTTATTTTGAAGGGGGATGTTAAAAAAAACAAACAAAAAAAACAACCTCACAATCCCTTTCATTCTGCTCAACAATAGAAGCAACATCCCTGTTACAGAATTTCAGTAAATCATGTGAAACTGAACATTTAAAACAATTTGAATCAAACTCCAATAACCTTTCAGTCTGCATTCTGTGGTAAATTTGGAATCCACATTTTCATCACAACTCCTTCTGATGTTTCCAGTAAAGACTTCATCTGAAATCTGCAAAGAAAGACAAAAGAAAAGTAAACAAGATTGACAATAAAAGAGGTAATTTTAGGCTTCTAGGCATCATAAACTTTTGCTCTACCTGTCACCCTATATTTACTGTTAACAATCCAACATTTTTTTGTCAATATACCTAACACTTTAAGAAACCTTCAAATTTTTTAAACACGTTGCCCAACCTCAGGTTCCCAAAAACTAATATTAACAAGACTCTTACCATCGGGCGTATTTAAAAAAAAACAAACCTCTGGGTCCGTTCCCTCTGTGAGAAGTGGAGGAAACCACAGGCATGGGTGGGAACAGTGCTCAGTGCCTCTGCCTGTGATCCCTGTGCACGTACCTCACCACACCACCTCATACACCAACTGACAGCCCGAACCACCGCCATGACGACCTGCTCCATAGCAACCACCGTTGCCTTGGTGACCTGCTCCTTTAGTAACTGCAATCGCTCTCAGCAACAGGCAGGTCACATGGCCGGGTCACACACTAACTGCTCTCACACTGCAACACCCCCATCTCCTTCTCCTCCTCTCTTTGCAAACAGGACTCCGCAGCTTGGAGGAAAAAATTCCACATTTAGGTGAACGTTTGAGTGAAGCACCCCCACGTCCCTTCTTCCCTCCCCCAAATACTCATATCAACCCAATTTGAAACGAGCTATGGCAGATCACGTGTAGCCAAATTTCCTAGAATCCATTTATGTATGTGTGTGTTTCAGCTTGAATGAAAAGTAAGCAAATTAAAGCACACACTAGAAATTTGCCATTACCAATCTGATAATTGATTGAAAATATGCAAGTTGACCTTTGATGCGTGTTTGCCAATGTGCCAATATAACATCAACAAGATAACACTGACTACTGTTTAGTCATTCCAAATTAAGTTCATTATTAACCCACCCTTTCCCCTAAATACCATCATTCTGTATCCAGGTTTGACTTAAGGCTCTGTTCCATTGTCCTCTGGCGACTTTGGCCTACTCTTGGATTTGGATCTGGACCTGGATTTGGATCCTCTGTTGGAAGGCGGGGTTCGACTCCTGGACTTGGAACGTGAGCGAGACCTGGAAGGAGACTTTGTCTTGCTCCGCCTAGGGGTTCTGGACTTAGACTTGGACTTGGATCTAGACCTTGACCTGGATCTGGAGTAGGAACGGGACCTGGAGCGGCTGTATCGATTGCGGCTCCTGCTCCTGGAGCGGCTCCTGCTCCTGGAGCGGCTTCGGCTGCGTCTGCGTCTGCGAGGGCTGTCTGAACGACTGTGTACAGAAAGAAACAGTTCAGTACTAGGTTAGCGACAAATTAAAATATGATACGCTCTAATAATAACAGTAAACCAAGAAACGTATGACGCCATGTTTGGGAAACATAAACGTCACGTTACCAAAACACGTGTTCAAACAAAGGCTCACCCGGTTTCACAGAATTCATCTGGTATGTCACCAAATCAAACAGTAATAATAAGTAATGAAAAAAATGAACATTAAAATATGTCTAAATTTGTGTCTTTCTAATCAAACACGCAGCTTCTGGAGTAGTTCGTATCTGCAGCCAATAGCTAGTTGTTGTAGTGAGCCCGTGTCCATGCCGTGACTGCTATGTAGTGTGCTACACGACAGTTTTGTTTAGTAACGCTGAAGTTCCCTAAAATGATTTATTCAGATTTATATTCATACCCTCCATATCTGCGTGGCGGAGCTCCTCTGCGGCCGTACATGGAGTCTGGCGGTCGTCCATAACGGGCCATCTGCACCCGGAGCTCACGCCCGTCGAGAAGCGCGCCATCCATAGCGTCCATTGCATCCTCAGCGTCGCGCTTGTCGAGGAAGCGCACGAAAGCAAAGCCGCGGCTCTCCTTGGTGTACCGATCTCGAGGGATGTACACGTCTCCTACCCGACCGTACTTCTCGAACACGCGGCGCAGCGTCTCTGGCGAAGTTCTGTAAGTCAGATTGTCCACTTTGAGGGAGGTCATTCCCTCAACGTCAGGCGGCGGCCTTCCGTAGCTCATGTTGTTCGTCTAGAAATAGCAAAAACCACCGTAAAAGACCCAAACACGTGATCTTGCTATTTTAACCAAAATCTTTGCCTTAGTTTTTTTTCCGAAAAATTAATTTAAAAAACGACCTATTCTTTGAAGCTGCAGATGGCTTCAACAAACGCTTGCTACCGCGTTGCTTTCACGTGAAATGGCGGCAAGAGGATTTCCTTTTCCCCTTTCTTTGAGCCCGTGTTGGCCTCCTTTGATAGGCTAATAGAATGCACTTCCTTTTCGTTAACTATGACCCTGCCCTCTGTCGGCAGGGAGGAATGGAGGCAGAGAATAACCGTTATTTTTGCTGGAATTTCTCGGACATTGATTATTATTATTTATTTATTTACTACAGCGTTTGCCTATCTTTTTCTATCACACTCTTGAACTCCAACCATAACCCTCAATAATGACTGCAATTTAGAGTTAATCTTACTTTCTGTTTCTTTTTTTGTAAACATGTCTTTGTGATTTTTAAAATTACAATAAACATTATGATTAAAATTGTTAATATATTTATAACTGCCCTTTGTACCCTTTATTGTCTGGTTAGTGAATAAATAGAGTTTGTTGCGTTTAATTAATTTAATCCATCCATCTATTTTCAGTGGGTGGTGAGTCCACTGGAAGGTACCAACTGCCCTAACCGGGATTCAATCTTGCCCAGGAGGTGAACCCTGGTGTTCCAAACCAATGACAGAGACCTGGACCAAAGCACCACTTAATTTAATTAATTTAATTTAATTAAGATACTTTAATCTGAAATATAATAATTAGCAACAACTTTCAACTCTCACTCACACTTTCATTTTACAATAAAGAGATGACGCAGCATGCATTGCTTTAAAGGGTAAAGAAGGGCAGTTCGAACAAGGAACTACATTTGAAAACTAAAGTGTGTAGCCTAATGTTTCTTGCATGTTCAGGGATCTTCAAACAGGAATATTGAAGGAAAATCAAAAAAAGTTACAGTCAGCAACAAAGCAGCAAAGGAGTCTTGATGCACCTTAAAAGACCCACAGACTTTTATATTATGTATTTATTTTCTCAACGAAATTCTTATGTATTTTACTTTAAACATTTGTTTCAGCCATCATGTGTGGTTAATATGGAATATTTCCTGGTGACACTGACATTTTTTTGTATTTTATTTTAATCTAGATTTTCACCTATTTATTTATTTGTGTATCTTTATTTAACCAGAACCAGAACAGGAATTTATTCACAAAAGGCGCTACCAGGAACAAACCCCCCAGGAGGCAATGAACAATAATTTACAAAAACTGCAGTTTTCGCCGGATCTGTTAAAATATTAATAAAAGGAAATCCCAAGAAGAGTAAATGGCTGCAGACGTCGGCCGGAAGTTTGCCCAATAGCCCTGAGCCGTGCTTTGACTGATTTATATACAGTGAATGGTTCAGATGGCTGCAGTCAACGAAAGAGGGAGAGGAGTGAGTGCGTGTGTGTGTGAGGGAGAAAGGGAGTGAGAAAGAGAGAGAGAGAAAAGAGAGAGTAAGAGAGAGAGAGAGAGAGAGAGAGAGAGAGGACTGCGCAAAAACCACGGTCAGGATTTGTGCCTGACTGACGTCATGGGGATCCACACACTCCTCTGACAGGACCAAGACTAGAAAAACACCAGGGGATAAATGACCATCATCCAGAGAATCGAGGGATGTCGACGTCTGCCACAACCGGTTGTGCAACACCTGTAAATCGAATAAAATAAAATAAGGAAAGGAAAACCAAAGGCAGGAACGGCGAATTCGTACCTCTCGCCCGTGCGTCTTTGGAGCGCCATGAGAACGTCTCTCCGCTCCTAGCCCTCGGTTTTCTTTTCGTTGCGGGCAGATCAAGCTCTAATCCCCGGACCAGCAGCAGCAGCGGCGGCGGTGGTGGTGAGCAGTTCCAGTGTTATGCCCGTTCAGCCGTTCGCCCCACGTTTGACGGACAATGGGAGCTTTAACCAGCAGACAGAACATAGGCGTGGAAGAAGTGGACATCCCGTCCAATTCGGTGTACCGTTATCCGCCGAAATCTGGTGAGTCCTCGAACAACAGGTCGGGCTGGTGGAGGAGAGAGGGGGGTGGGCATCTGTTACACAGCACACTCTCAATGCTTCACTGCAGCTCAACGCTTTTGTGATAAACGAAGAAAAACACATAAAAGATAACCTTTATTATCACAATCATTATCACCGTCATCATCATCAATATCGTCATCATCATAACTGACAGGCCCTCAGGCCTGGTGCCTATACGTGCATTGGTGGATCTAGCCATTTAGGGGCCCGAGGCAAACGTCGGCGTAGCCCCCCATGTATCTGCTCTTTAAACAAAACAGTTAAATCAGTTAGTAGTTATCATGCCATTTATTGTATGTAATTAATTACATCTATTTAATACACACCTAATACTTATGTATTTAAAATTATGTTTATTATAGAGTGATTAGTGCCATTGCCTTACACCAGTATAACTGTGGTTTCTGAATGGACTTTTGTATGTTCCAGCCCCCCACCAACATGTCAACAAATACACGTTTGAGCTATGGAATACTATACTCAGCCAAGATTTGTTGAGCACCAGAAGGAAAGAAAGACAGTTGGCCTGAGTCTGCTGTTGCCGCTCCTTTTAAATATAGACCAGCTGTATTTGTCAAAGGATTTGTAATATAACAGTCCCGGTTGCAGACAGAAAGCTTGGTGTTGGCGTTGGAAGGAGGAGGAGGTGTATTGATGGCTGAGGATGAAACCGATCTGTCAGCCCCAGTTCCTGTGTGTGTGATCTGGTGACAGGGCCAGCCTGCCTCACCCACTGGGTGTAAATAACAACGAGGTGATGTAGAGGGAGAGGGAGACAGAGAGAAATAGGATGAGCGCTACAAGTTTTCTTTAGTTCTCTATTTGTCAAGTTGTGTATGTGGAAGTTGGAGAAGCATCTTCCTCCACCAGTCTTAATAAATAAGAATGAAAACAAATTGTGGTACAGGCCAGTGATGCCAGAGCACACCTAACAGACATGTGACTGGACCAAGACCACCAATACAGTCTTGTAATATCACCCCAACATGTGATTATGGGCAGAACAGCAATTTAGTCTTGTTGTCATCAAGCCTTAGTCATGGTCGAGTCATGTGGCCTACAACTGGTCAACTCCAGTCAGAGCTCAAGTTGACGTTTCCTGTCAGCTTTTCTTCTTCTTTCTAGGTGCTTTTTAATTTTGAAAATCAGGTGTACTTCTACAAACTTTGAAAGGACACAAGCAAAACACTTAACCATCAAATAAAAGATACATTAATGGACACCTGGAAAAACAACTGGTGGTACACACACACATTTTATTATCCCTGCATTTTTTAGGCTGTACTACATGTGTGCATTGTGCTTTCTCCTCTTTACTTCTGCCAAGGTTTAACTGCTTTACTTTTGTTTTTTACTACCAAATGTTATTTCCCTTATTAGGATTTATTAAGCTATACACTGAAAGTATGTTTTTTTCCTTTTCAAAATAAAATTACAATTTTAGAACTTTGATCTTACGTAACGTGATTCGTGTCGTGACGTTTTCTTTCTGTACAGGAAATTACTTTGCCAGTCATTTCATCATGGGAGGAGAGAAGTTTGACTCCACACACCCTGAAGGTTACCTGTTTGGGGAAAACACGGACCTAAACTTCCTGGGGTCCCGACCTGTAGCGGTGTGTATTTTTATTCTACTACTTAGGTCTTTTCATTTGAATAGCACAGCTGTTCAATTCATAGTTGTTATGTTCAGCCCCCGTTACTGACGCTGCCACCTGTGACATTTAACAGGATCAGATACATTTCAGCACTTGTGACTCCGTCAGTGGCATTTAACAGTCCCCCCTCCCCGTTCCGTCACATGGTGAAAATAATGTCAACGTCTCATCCGGTCCCGCTCATTAAAAGTGAAATGACAGTCTGCCAGCTCCATGAACAGAAGAGCAGATAAAGGACATCACTTTCTCTCTTCTTTCAACTCATCCTGATCACCAACGGGAGGGTCACGCTAATGAGAGCTACAGATTCAGACACCGAGCTCACGTCCACCCAGACTAAGGCAGAATTGGAAGGAGATAAAACAATTAATTCTGCTCCACTTCTGTGTCCTAATCTCAGTGGCACTGCTGTTTCTGTCTAGACTGGGGCTAAAATGATGAGGATGATTTTTTTGCCTGCCCATAATGTGAGAGTTAATCCTGCAGTGTTGAGTGTTGAATTCTGATGAGACGGTGTGTATGTTTGTGTGTGTCTGAACTGTAGCAGCATTATGATGTTTGGTGGTTTCTAAACAGATGGTGCTGTGGAATCATACACCAACCACAGTTGTTGTGTCCTCCGTGTCCTTCACCACTCCACAAATATGATAATAGATGGAGCTATGTTTAGGGTTTTTGAGTCTCCTGTCTGCATCACAGCGACACCCAAAATGGATTTGTAGTCATGCTCGTGGTTTGGCCATTCTGGTTTGTTGGTTCAGACCAGCTTCAAAAATTAGCAGGGCTTTAGAGCATGAGTGACCTTGAACATTTTTACATTTCCATTGGAATGTGCACACTGGTGTCTTTTGGTAACAACACAGAAACTGTACACTTATGCTTCTAAGACAAAGGTAAATCCTCCAGTCATTTGGTCTTCATCATTTGATGAGTTGTAATGACTTGCAAAGCAGACATTCTTGCCTCTCTCCCTGTGTACTTAGACAGAATACCCTGCATAGTTAATGCACAACTGAGCCTGAAGTTTACTTGCCATTAGAAGAGGCTAAACTACAGTTGCTGATGACAAAGCTAGAGAATAAAAGTACTCTAAATAAAGTACTTTAATAGTTTTTTTTAAACAGTTGATTTACAATAACAAGGTTTTTTCTTGACTTTTTATTTTATTGAGCAGTAGCACAAACCTGTGAGTTAATTAATGTTGTCTTCAACTTCATCTGACTCTGGTGCTACAGTCTCCTCAAGTAGGACTGTTTTATTTTCATAAATGGAATGGAGCAGAGGAGTTCAAAAACAAACAAATCAACATACTGGCCAACCTCTAATATAAAAGCTGAGGTCTAAGAGCTGAGTTTCCAATAAGGGCTTCTTTTTAGCGAATGCTTCTCTATGTGTGTTTGTTTGTGTGGTTTTATGGGCACGACTCCTGCTGCGCGCAGATGTGTAATAACAGTGAATACAGTACCATTCAGAGACACACAAACACCCTCATGCACACACACAGATGAGGGTCTGTAGTGCAGAGGTATCCAACCACATCCTGCATGTTTCTCCTGCAGAGATCCTTAAACCACCTCGCCTCTCTCCCCTTACACTCACTCAGCAACTTCAAAAAGACAACCAAGGAGGGCAGGGAGGTGAACCCACCCACTGGGTCAAGTTGAAAGGTCAGCTTAAGTACCAGGACTTATAATCGTGTTTTATTGTTTTGAACACTGAATGCATCGGCCATTGTAAATAAAAGAAGGAAAAGCTGTGTTGATCCTTGTTTTCATATGACTAACCTCAGCTGGTCTTTTACACCTGCCTAAAATAAAAACAGCCTCTCTGTGACCCTGGATCACTGGAGCACTCTGGTGTGGTCATTGCATGTGCAGAAATAATCCAGAAACTGCCTGAGGTGTCATGAGAACCTGGGAAAGACACAGACTGAGCAGATTTTTCTGCTCCGGGTCAGCACTTGTCTGCACGGGTCTGGTTGGTGCTGACAGCACTTTAACATTAAGGTTAATTCAAGAGCAGCCACGGCCATGTTATTACCCTGGAATCCCTGTGGCGCACCAAGGAATGTTGAGGTTGTTGAGGAGAGGTGAATACTCAGAGTACTTCTCAGACTTGATAACCTATTTTGTCATTTACTTTTTGTGCTCAGTTTCCCTACGCAGCACCTCCACCTCATGAACCGGTAAAGACACTACGAAGCCTTATAAACATACGGAAGGACACGCTGCGACTTGTACGGTAAGCTCCCAGTTTTATCGTATCCTCTAGTTTTACTGCTGGTTTCTAATTTTATACCCATACAGACATTTCTGGGGAAGCTCCAACGTCCTGTCATCTAAATTGAAGGGATAAATCTTCTCTACTGTTTCCACTGCTCTCCTTCTTCAGGTGCAGTGAAGACCTGAAGCTGCCTGGTGACGAGGCATCTGGGAAAAACAGGGCCTGCTACAATGTAGAGTTTACCTTTGATGCTGACACACAAGTGGCCATAACCATCTACTACCAGGCCATAGAGGAATTTCATAATGGAGTGCCAGTGTAAGTTTCTGAATACACCAGACACACTATTGACTATTAACGCTCTTCAAATTCAGATTTTGTCCCCCCGTTTTATAAACAAAAAGCACAATACACTCTCCCTCCTGCGGGGGGTGCTGTAATGACGTGTTTTCCTTACAGTTACTTGCCCCAGGACAGCTCCATGCAGTCTGAGACTGTGCATTTTAAGAAGGGAGTTTGCCAGCAGTTCTGTTTGCCATCACACACCGTCAACCTCAGTGAATGGGCAGACGAGGAGGTGAGTCTGCAGACTGCAGCACACGCCGCGGCCCGTGTGAGGCAGCACTAGGCTGCCCTGTCAGTGTGTGCGCAGGGGTGGGTGTGAGTTAAATCTCATCCCATTTTTTTCACTTCAGCTGCTCTTTGATATGGACAAGGAGATGTTCCCCATGGTGGTGCAGGCTGTTGTAGACGAGGGGGAAGGTGAGTTCCTGTGAATTTATCACCTTGATGGTTCTGATGTGGAAGAACAGTAGCAGAATTTCAAGTGTTTCCTCTGCCACTTCATCTGCACAGAACATCTGGGACACTCGCACGTCCTGCTGGCTACGTTTGAAAAGGTAAGAAAGTGCAGAGCTAAGGCAGAGATTTCTGTGATAGACATGAACTGGTTTACTGTTGTACACTGACCTGAGGACAGGGTCAATATTATTTGATACATTTAATCTGAGAAAATCTTGTGTCAATGTTCCAGTGTCTCATTGACTTAAACTTGCTTTTTCACCTTGGCTCTAATATAAATATACAATACAGAAGTTTGTGAGTCTAGATGTAATACAAAAAATCACTAATTGCCGTCCATTTAGATATATGTATTAAAGAAACAATGGAACGATTTAACACGCATCCCTGTTGTTCCTTCGTAGCACATGGACGGAAGCTACTGCGTGAAGCCTCTAAAGCAGAAACAAGTGGTAAGCGCACACTTTGTTGGACAATTTATCCCATTTGAAAATGCCATTTTATCTGCATTTCATCATTTATTTATTTCTCCGTCATGTGTCTCTCAGGTGGATGGAGTGAGTTATCTACTGCAGGAGATCTATGGGATAGAGAACAAATATAACAGCCAAGAATCAAAGGTGAATGTCAGATAAGATGGGATGAATTTCCATCTGTCTGTCTTTGTTCTACAGCTCAGGTGACACACAGGTGTCGCTGCGGTGGAGTCCTTCCTCAGTGACAGAAAAAAAGGTTTTAAATCGTTCATATTCTTTTGTTTGCAGGTGGCCGACTATGAGATTAGTGACAACAGTGCGGAGTGTGTGGTGTGTTTGGCTGACGTTCGGGACACGCTCATCCTGCCGTGCAGACATCTGTGTCTCTGCAACGCCTGTGCAGTCACATTACGCTACCAGGCCAACTGCTGCCCCATCTGCAGACTGCGTGAGTTCCCATTCAAAACAAAGAGTTGAATTAAACTCACAACATAAAGTCTAAAAAATGTCTTTTCTGTTTTGACACAACTGAATTGAGATTGTAATAACTGTCCATGTCATTGTAAAAAGATAGAAGAAAGAAAAAAAAATGTCAACAGTGTGTAAATGTGTGCTGAAAATTAAAGTTTTCCACACATTTTTTCTATAATACTTTTCTTACTATTAATCCCTTTAGCAAAATGACTGCATTTAACCACTCTGTGGACCAACCCAGTGATTATCAGCAGACACACAGACACAGTGAGCTTCTCTTTTTTAGACTGCTCAGGGAATGGAATTAAAGGAGTGCTGCTTCTAAAAAAATAATAACAACAACAACAGGCCTGCCAGGGCTGAGATATGAAATAGCAATTTAGTCCTGACAACACAAGTCAACAAACTCACAGGCAAAGAGGAACGTGTTGAAATCCCACAACAACTAAAAACCAAACTGGTGCTGCTTATGGAACTAATTCCATGACCTTGATGTTCCATGAGCCATGGAGCATCTTATTGTGAATATATGAACACAAACACAGTAAATGGCTGTGTATTCAATACCCATGCAATCTTTGATCCTAATGTGTTCCTGTAAACCTGAGAGGGTTTTGGAGATTTAAATCAATAACTGACTGATTCATCACAGTGGAATGGCCACTGCTGCAGAGGTGATCTAAAAAAACCTGCTTCACAAGGAGGTGAGAGAGGATAGAAGACCGAGGAAAGAGGGGAACTACATTATTCATCGTACAGTTACTCGCTAAAGATTTTTTGGAGTGGAATGTTCAGAAGGTTGAGATGTTTCTAGACATGTGCTGAGGTCAGATGGCTAATATATTGCATAGTGGGTGCTGGAGATAAAACTGCCAGGCAGAAAGAGCCCAGAAAAGATTTACGAGGCGTAGTGATAGAGGACATGGAGAGGGTTGGTGTATCAGAGGAGTAAGTATGGAGGCAGATGACCTGCTGCTGGGACTCCAGGAGAGAGCAGTGCTCACTGTTTTCATTTAGAATATAAATAACACTAGTGTGGTACGTTTTTGGACACTGGATATTTTAGCATCTTGTCTCATCATTTACAGCATTCAGAGCTTTGCTGCAGATCCGAGCGATGAGGAAGAAGCTAAGTCCTGTGACGCCTACCAGCTTTAACCCCGTCATCACCTCACAGACCTCAGACTCAGAAGAGCACTCGGTAAGACTGGGCTGAGAACAGAACAAAAGACGAAGTAACAAACGCTACAACGTACCCTGGTGAAGTTACATCTTCTGTGTCCTTCTCCTGTGCACAGGTGTCAGAGCACATTCCTCCCGGCTACGAAGTCGTGTCTCTGTTGGAGGCATTGAACGGGCCCCTGAACACCTCTTCAGCCACTCCTCCGTCCCTCCACTCTGGCCCTAGCCACATCCCTGGAACGCTGCCTCCTTACAGCACTGAGCCTCACCCGACACCGGCGCGATCCCTCTCTCCTCTGGACCACTCCAATTCCAGTCAGGGCCTCAAACTGAAGAAGAGTGGTTCAAAGTGAGTCATGACCCGATGATGACCTTGAGATGGTTAAAGTTGATTTTTGATTAACTTTAAAAAGGATATGTTCCTTGACTTCTTTGAGATCTTTGACAGTAAATGTCTCAAAAAGAGAAATGTATGAAGATATCTTTAAAAAAATAATTCTGCCCACTATCACAACATTTTCCTGGGATCATGTTGGTTTAAATTATATGCTTTCTGTGTGTTTTTTTGTATTCACACAGAACTGCTTGTACAGCAAACCCACAACAGTTATTTTTATCCATTGTTTTTTTTTTTATATTCTAGGTCCCTTTCCCAGAATTCTTCGGTGCTTCCGGAAGAGGAGGATGAGAAATCATGCAGTGAATCAGAGGCATGTCGCCACAAGCTCACTGTGGACCAGCAGGAGGTGTGTGTTTCTGTCTTTGTGTATGTATGAAAGTAGATTTTGTCCCGAACACTTATGTTTGTGTGTGTGAAGGATGCTGTAGTATTCGGTCGCTCTCACATTGCCACTCTGTTCTACAGTGTGGAGTGACTCCAGACAGTGAGAACCTGACTCTGTCCTCGTCTGGAGCCATCGATCAGTCGTCCTGCACTGGCACTCCACTCTCCTCCACCATCACCTCCCCGGAAGGTACGAGCACACACCACTGCATGTTAGTCGCTCTAGTAGAACACATAATCCTCGTCTCCTGTCAAAACATTGTGGTTGAGAACATGGAAAACACTTTGACAGATACATGGAAGTCAACTGTAGAATCTGTATAAAAACATCTTGCAGGCTGGTTATACGAAGCTGCTGTTTTGCATAATTAAAAAAAAGAAAAATTACTCTTTAACTTATGAGACTTAGAGGATGAATTTAAAATGGTTTTATGTTGACTCAACATTGAGAGCATTTATTTTCCAAGTAAACACAACTGTTTAAATTTCTGTTGTTCATTTGCTGGGATTGGGGACCATGCATTTTCAAAACTCTAATCTGAAAACCACAGAAGAAAGGATTTCTCAGAGCCCCTAGGCACAGACATGACATCTGTGACGTCTCTGTCTGTCTGTCAGACCCAGTGAGCAGCAGCCTGGCCCAGTCAGTGATGTCCATGGCCTCGTCCCACTCGCAGCACTCCCACATCAGCACTGAAACCATGTCCTCCATGTCAGGGTCCTATCTGGCTGGGGTCGAGGGCGAGCCTGGCGTAGAAGAGGCTGGAGGTGATGCTGAGGGCGAGGAGAACCAGGACTGTACCATGGAAAGGCGAGGACCATTGAACCATGACCAGGTGAGGAAGGAGAGAATGACCCCTGGTTATTCTGTAACACTGTAACAATATGAATATGAATTGACTCTGTCTGTTCTCTCTCTGTGTTGTTTTTCCTTGAGCTCAGGAGTTTTCCAGACAGCCAAAAGAACACAACTACTCCGTGGCTATAGACGAGCAGGACTCTGAGGTTAGTGATGCGTTCTGATCTGTCAGTGCAGAATAATTTCTGCTCATTTCATGCTTTAAATATGAGATCTTTTCATCAGGGAAATGATGTAACAGAAGATGACTGCTCCTCTCCATCTAATGGAAAAGGTAACTCTAATGACCACCTTTCAGTTACCCCCCGCCCCCACTGACCGTCTGCCACCCTCTTCATTATTTGCAGTTAAAATTATAATCTTTTTTTACACAAACTCAATTAAAGCGACTAAGTAAACTAAGAAAACATTTTAAAACATACCATAATGGTTGAAACAGACATGCAATGTCTAAACAGGAGGAAATGACTTCCAAGTTTGTGGATGACTAAAACCTGGAGCTTTAACTGACCATTAAACACAACCCTGGTGTATTACTTTGCCAGTTCTCCCAGTCTGAACACATTTGTAGAAAAACAGAACGTGCCACCAAGTAGTACACGACACCTCGGCCGTTGGATTCAAGTCCTGCTCACAGTCCTGCTACATTTAAATGATCCTGTCTCCACACGGTACTGCAGCTGATGGATGGTGTAGTGAGAACCCTGTTTAAACCTCATCTATTTATTTGATTATACCAAATCTCCCATAGCATTTCCTGATTAGAGGATTTAACTCCATTCAGTCCATTTGTATTGAAATGGGTTTCATCACAACATGTCTCCAGGAAACAAGCCTGATGCATCTGGCTGCAATGCTCTGATGAGGTTCTGCTGTACAGCTGCTGAATTGTTTTTGCATGGTGTGTGTGTTCAGTCTATAGACTACATGTGCTTCTTAAAGAAGCATCATCATGCTCCACCTGCACCGTCGCTGTTGATGTGCTTACCAGTGTGTGTATACGGGTGTCACTGTGTGTAATTGTGTAGGTGTGTAAATATTTTGGTAGGTCTTCAAATGGAAGAGGTAAAGAGAGGGAGAGGTTGGGGTTATTGGCAATGTTGAATGTCAGCCTTTGCATAAATCCATGCATATTGGTATTCATTTCCTCACAACACTAGGAAGCAATGTCTGTGTATGTAGGTGTGAAAGTGTAAGTGGAACGCAGTTACTTTGTTTGACTTGGCATCCAATGAAAACTGCTGAAGAGTGCTGTTAAAAGGCTGAAACTGACTGAACCTAAACAGGTTAGAGTGCTGTTAAAATGCTGAAACTGACTGAACCTAAACAGGTTCTTGTGCTGCTACTGTGTGGCTACGTCCTATGATGCCTTCATTTGTTCTCTATAAACACACCGTCCATTTCCTTCATCTCATTGTTTCACCTCTGTTTAGATTATGGCACGCAAACATCACCATCACTGCACTGTTTGCTCCTTTATGAGTTTGGTTTAACTTCACTCACGTATCCTGCACTTACTCAGACTTCCAAAAGTCTGTATTTACCAAAAATGTAATGTTGGTGTCACTGAGCCTTCTGAAAAAACCCTACAATAATTTAGATTTACACTTCCTCAATGCAGTAAATGTTACCTTTCTACCATTTATGCTTCAACTCTACTCTGATCTTGCATGGCGAACCTCAACCCTCTACCTCTGATACCGTCCTCACCCTCCCCCGCTGTGCCTGGCTGCTCTTGTTTGACCTTTGCCCTCGCTTGCAGGTGGGCGGAGCAGGTGTCCAGAGTTGGCCAATAACAATCAGGGCGTCGGTCAGTGTGACACGCCCTCTTTGGGGCTGGATAATGAGCAGGCCACCGACAGCCGATTCGCCGGTGAGTGGCAACTTCTAAAACATGGACAGCTGAGAGCTGAGGACACTAATTCTCCAGCTGAGAATACTGATTTAAAAATCGAAAGAAAATAAGTAGTAGATGTACTCTAGAGCCCTGGAGACGACATCAAGTAGCATCTTAGCGTAACATGAAGATCTGGGGCCTTCCTTGTTCTCTTCATCTCCCTCCCCTCCTTTGTTGTTGTGGTGCTTCATTGCTGCTTCAGTTCCAGTTAGCTTTGCACCCCCTGCCTTCTTTCCCTGTTAGCTGAAGCCCCAATGAGTGTCTTATCAGTGTGTATGTGTCTGAGAGAGTACGAAGTTGCAGTTCACCCCAGAGTTGATGCTAACTCTCTGCTAGCTACAAGCAGCTTTTGCAAAACATCTGCAGCTCATTCTTTCACCTCTGCCACCCTCCCTGCTGTCCTTTTCCTAATCCTCCCCAATGCCATTCGATCTGATCAGAGCTAAAGAGAAATAATCTGTGGGTATTAAACACATTGGGGTAAAAAAAAAAATCATAATTATTTATGCTAATAGGGCTAATACAGGACTAATATTCTATATGTGCAGCCTTTAGCTCTGAACCAGTATTGAAACACACAGTCCCCTCATGTAATGAACCCTGTTTTTAAAACTTTATCCCTCTCTTTATTGTTCTACACTGGACTTTGTGACATGTTTTCTCTCGTGTGTTGTAAACGTGTTTTGTTTTCTCTGTGCTTTTCTCCCTTTCCCTTCTTGTCATCCCTTACATCTTCTCTCGTCTTTTCCTGAATCATGTCCTTCCTTTTCTCCTTCCATCTCTCTCTCCTTTGTTTTCCCTCTTTTGCTTTCTTTCGGATGGACAGATGAGGCATCGTGCCCAGTGCACATTGAGGAATAGGTATGGAAAAAAGATTGGAAGGCAGGGTTACAGGATTTTTTTTCTTAGCACCATCTAGTGGTGAAGATGTGTGTTCTTACAATATTGAAGGTCCTACCACTATTGGTCCACTGACACTGACGAGCATGTGATAAAATGACAGGTGTAAAACCATTATAAACATATTGTATGAGACTTGGAACAATCCTATATCTGATTCGTGTTTCTTCACGGTCGTCCTACTCTTTACTACCTTCGTTCATTCAGGTCTCTTGTACCTCGGGGGCTACCTGCCTGTTTTGGAGCCCCGCCCCCACCACACCTCCACCAGCAATATCAACCTGGAGGAGCAGGGGGGAGACAACCGAGACAGCCAGAGCCCTAAACATCCTCGCCACGGACCACTCAACGTCTAGTACTCACACGTAAACACGAGCTCTTCCCCGAACCCTGTCACAGTGCTGCACTGCTGGATATTGTCCTCACCTCGACCAGAAAATCCGTCCCCATCTCTCTTGACATCTCTTTGGAGCTGAATGCAGTTGCCGGAACAAGAAAATCTTCTGCAGAGAAAAGTAAAGAAAGGTCAAGAAATAATTTAAAAAAGCATCACCTCTCCAGTGTTCAAATCCCACTGAAGTATTCCTTTTTGTTTCCCTCTGTGATTTACCATGTTGTGAGAATGGTTAGCCTACTGCCACATTATTATTATTTATTACCTGTTGGTGTAACCAGTGTGTGCTCTGTATCATGGCAGTATCTTTACAAAACACACACGCTGCTCCTTCTCCTCTATTACCAGCCAAACAGTCAGGGGCTACTGTGATCGGCAATCGGATTTCTTACTTAGTTCTTCTCTATTACAAACTGTGTGCGAAATAAGCAGGGGGAGACCTCTCCTCAGATCAGGAGCTCCCGTCTCCTTCTCAACACTTTTGCTGAATGTGACTCCAGAACCGTTCGGACTTGTGAAGCGGCCAAGGGTTGTCAGCCAAAATGAACTGAAGTGGCAAAAACAATGAGCAGAGAATGTAAGATGTGAAAAAAGGGGGAATGTACATGACATCATAATCTGAACCGGAACCTAACCTGAACTTTGAACATTCAAATCTTTAATCACACACTCTCTTCATGTTAGCATGTCTGTATTTATACCATTGCTGGCCAGAACCAATCAGAACCACCAAGCAATACAAATGCTGAAGCTGCGCCTCTCTCTTTTATTTTGAAGGACACTTAATCCAAATAGAAAGAAAACTGTGTGTTGCACTGGCCTGTTAAACTAGAGACAGACATATCCAAATGTAACTGTTATCTATGTTTGATTTCTGACATGTTAAGAGGTTCTTTGTGATATAAAGACAGATTTTTTTCTTTACATTTTTCTGCTATCATATGCAGAGCTTTTAGTTGTTTGGACTTTTGTATAACTTTATGTATCCAACCTTACCTGTTGTTGTTACTGTTCCCTGTATGTATGAATCTGTTGCACAACACTGTTGTTTGTTAGAATGTGGACAAAAACATGTGAAACATTTGTAAAAGTTTACACAGAAATAACATTAATGCACTACTAGCTGTTTTCCTAGAGGACAGAGGTGGGGTGCATGAGGCGACAGTAGAGTGAGCATGTTAGTCTAGGTCAGCCTGCACCCTCCTGTAGAATACTTGATGATGGATCACTGCACACCCATCAACCCAGCCAGCTGAAAGGTTTTTCCACATGGGTCCTGTATCCAAAGGAAGTGGACTCATGACGGTTTGCTGGCTGGGATATTCTGGAATATTATCTTACTGGTTTTTGACTCCCTATTTCATCAACCAAACAGCTGAGGATAAGGCTACTGCACTATTATAACCAAACAGTCAGGTGATTACAGTCCCACCGTGCAGAAGAAGCCATTCGTTGGCAGCATATGTATGATTTCAACTGGAAGAATGAATCCTGAATCTGCAAGACACACATTTTCTAGAAATATAAGTTAAAATGTCAAAAGCAAATGTCATATGGACAATAAAGAGGTTTTTTTCCAACTAAAAAGCTGTAAATTTGCTGTAGTAGTAAGACTGTAACTGGCTCATAAGCAGAAGTACTGCAATCGTTTATCACCCTCCCTGGCCACTCCCAGTAACACTGCAAACAGCAGCTCTGTCTCTTGTCATTTGACAGTTCACTCTTCTGTAAAACAAAAATTACCTTTACTGTCCAAGAAAAGGTTGGATTTCATAAACCTAATTACAGCCAGTGTTCATTTTAACAGTCAGCTTGGACTTTTTCTGAGTTTCATTAATATTAATATCCATCGTTTTTAATCACGTAGACGAGGTACATACGGTAAGTAGTCCACTTTAAAAACTCTACTCTCCTCGTTCTTTATTCATACCCATGTGTTCTGATTTTTTATACTGATTTCATTTATTAAAAATTTCATTAAATACTCATTTAACACACATGTATTGACGATTGATAAACATTTGAGCTTCGTTCGTACCGTTATAAGGAGAACATTTCCATCATAAATATATGTGTAATAGAAGGCTCAGCTGACTTTAGACCCAACAAAAACATGCACATTCACATGAAAAAAGTGTTCATAAACGACATAATGGCATCACTGTGGTGATCAAGTTCCTCTCTAATTGGATTCCCTCATCTGTTAAGCACTTCTCATGTGTCACAGTAGATTTCTTAATGTTTTGTTCTGCTTTACTTTTGCTCCTCCATTTGTTTTTCAAGCTGTAAAATCACATTTCTCTCTGCTCATATGAATTCATCTTCCCACCTGCCTTTTCTATTAGTTTTCATTGGCCATCATTCTCACTTAAAGCAATCATCTGTAGCCTCACCTGCCCTTGAAATCAAAGTACGGGCTGATGTTCACTGTTTGCCACTCACCTCCTCCGTAAGCCAATTACAGAGTTTGTTCCTGCCGTCTGCTGAGGGAGGGGTCTTTCATTTAGGAAGTGAGAGATGCCATTTATTGTGCCCCAGCCCTCAATCCACACAAACTGAAGGACAGCTGGGACAGAGTTGGTCTGGTCTACACAGAACACTGGGCTGGAAACTGCTCCGACCTAAACACACCCAAAAACACATGCTCAGATGAAGAAGCACAGAGCTCTGGACATGCTGCCTGTTATTGTCTTCATCCAGCTGCTACTTTCAGGTAAGAATTTCATGTTACATCTTTAAGAAATAATCCTAACTCACAGTATGAAACAGAAATTTTGGAGGTTTTCTTACTAAGTCTTCAACCTCAGCCACTGGTGGTGGAGACAGATGTTCATTTGCTGTTTATTTGATGTTATACTCTGTTGCTAAGAGTCACAGTTTGTCCAATAATTACAGGTGTCGTTGATAGTAATCACTACTGATAACACAGTAATGAGAAGTTCATGTGGCAGCACACAGTAATACTTCATAAACACTATCATGTAAATAGGCAGGAATCCCAGTGTACAACACATTAACGTTTGGAATTTCAAAGACTACATCTCTGCTGTCTCGCAGATGCGATGACTGCTAAAAAAGTGTGCAGTTACCAGGATGTTCTGGATTACCTGAACATGACCAGGGACAACAATAAGTTACAGCTGTCTCGGCCCGTCTTGGACCACACACACCCTACTGTGATAGAGATGGACCTCATCCTCTACGCTCTACTGGCAGTGGTAGGTGTTGTGTTGCAGCTGTCGAATAGACTGTGATGATGAGGTTTGTTTTTTTATTTTACCTTCTGTATGATGTATTTGGTTTTACAGATTGAAAAAACACAAACTTTCATTCCTTTTGTTTGGGTATCCATGGTGAGTATTTCTACATACTTACATCAAATCCTCTCAGCAAATAATCTAAAACGGTATTCCACTACATCTAGAAGAGTGTAGATGTGGTTAGCATGCTTGCTTGTGGTTAATTGTTCACTCTTTCTTGACCATAGGTGTGAATGTGAGTGT